TAAATGCATAAATAGTCGTCTATACAAATGCAATATAGTGACCAAGTGATAACAACAATGATAGTTCTAGCAACAACACCCATAATGTTTTTTATAATTTAAATAATAAGTAAAACTGTTGGGAGAGGATACAAATGGTTTAGAGCCATGAACGAGTCCTGAATGTGACGATTCCTCTCTGCAAGTATTGGATAGCGACACGGGGTATTAATATGACATGAGGTGCTCATACAATACAACCAGTGAATGTACAGATAAAGAATGAGCTCTTGCATGCCTCAACTATCTATAAAAGAGCCAACCTATAGTTTTAAGAAGTGAAAAGATGGTCATAATCATCTACACTCCAGCTGCAACATGACAACTGAGTGAGTTATTCCACCGTACCTGGTTCTGATGGACTGAGACTAAGTCTGATGATAGACACTAGTCATAGGACTCAGCTGAATACACTTCTGTCTTCATGGCAATGGAGGGGCAAGCGCCCTGGCTCCTGAAAGCAAAATTTAGAAAAACGGGAATGCGGGCCGATGGTTGAGAATATTCCTATGATAAAATGCTATAAAAGCCAAAACAGCAACCAAAAAGCTTACAAAAGAGATAAATAGAGTATACTGAAACAAAAGGACAGCTCAAAGTGGCTCCCAAAGCTAGAATGGATGGATAAAAGAGAAGATTGTGCTGTCTTTCCCTCCAAAAATCCACCATTTTACCACCACTTTGGGTGCGCGTTAATTAGAATCATTTCGGTGCATAAGGTCCATTGAATTTTTTTGCAAGTTAATAAAAAATTGCGCCAAATTTAACTAAAATTGAAAAGGAGAGAAATTTGCCTTTTTTCTTATTTTTACTACATGTATTTCAGTTGTTTATAAAGTTTAAGCTGATTCCAATCAAAATTGGATTTTTTTCATGATTTTTTGAAGTTACTCTAAATTGGCCATAAGTCTGTATACATGCATGGTCATGAGCTAAATTTTTGCAAAATTGAACTTACAATTACATGTATTGTCCCCAGTGACCCTAGTGTATTTGTATTAAAAGGTCATTTTTATTTTACTTAATTTTTATTCTACCTTACTTTTCTCCCTCCCCCTCTCTCTCTCTCAGATCCTGATCCAAAGTGTATGTGAGACAGTTGTTCCTAAGCTGATAGCTGAAGATATCCCCTTGCTACACAGTCTCCTTCAAGATGTATTCCCAGGAGTTGCTTACAGGAGGGCAGAAATGGCCGCCCTAAGGAAAGAGATAGCAGCAGTTTGTAAAGACTGTCACCTTGTCTTTGAGGAAGGAGAGCAAGCCTCTTCTCTGTGGGTTGATAAGGTGGGTGTGGTTATACTTCTAATTAAAGAGCACCTTGTCCTCTGATGAGTATTAGATGACGAGCCATAAGTTGTTTAACTGGTCAAACTGGTTTTGGTATTTGATGAATAACGAGGCATTTGTCTGAGGATTACATTATGCATATACATTTATAAAAGTTTACATTAATTACATGTACTACTGTACATGTAGCTGTAGCAATTATTATTATTTATTTTTAAGAGGTGTTGCAGTTGTATCAGATCCAGTTGTTGGCTCATGGTGTGGTGATGGTCAGCCCCAGTGGAAGTGGAAAGTCTTTAGCCTGGAAGGTTCTCCTGAAGGCGCTTG